CATCACGTGAAGGAATATTGCTAGCAATCTAAACGTACAAATTTAAGAAAGAGTAGAAAATTTACAAAACTATCAATTTTTAAACTTTTCAAATTCAAAACTTTTCATTAAACAAGAGCAAGTTTTGAATTAACATATGAATTGAGAAAATCTCCATGATCACCATTTATAGTCATTATCAAATATTAATAAAATAATGATAACAAAGCAAATATTCACAAACTACTCGTTGAATTCAACGTCGAACGTAAAGCTATCGATAACCTTACGTATTAAGGCGCTATTCCATTTATTACATTATTTCTATCGTTTAATGTCCAACAATGCTTAGTAAATCAAACTCCACAGCATCACCTTAATTTCGCAAAGATATTATACATACAGACGAGCTTTAAAGCAAGTCAGTTTCCGAGAAAAGAAGTAAAAAGACTTTTCAAAGCAGCATTGAGAAAATCAATAAGCATATATGAAAATTCTGTGACTTAAATTTCATAAATAAAAACCTTTTCGATAAGGTAATTCATCGTGGAATGAAGAACATGAATTGGGCGAAGCTCGTGCGGAAGAGGTTCTTCCTGAAAAAAATATCTGTTAATATCTGTTAATTCAATTTCAAAATTTTCTTTTGGAGGGCAAATTTATGAAATGAAAATATTAGGAATACACCAAAATATTCAAAAAAAGATAGGAAAACTTTGGCAGGAACTAAGCTCCAAATCTTTCCTATATTTACCCAAAAACAGATCAATAAAAAATAATATTTCTATTTTTCAATTTATACAATTGAATTATTTAATTAAATAAATAAAATTTATTTATAAATTTATAAATTAAATAAAATTGAAAAGAAGAAAAACAAAAGTATTTGTTCAATTACCTGATCTGCCGCACTTCTTCTGTATTCCTTCACGGCTATTTTAGGAATCATTTCACCCAAATGATTGCACTCGTAAGGACTAACTCTTTTTTGAACAATTCTAGCATATCTTTCCTTTTCACTACACATATCTTCACAAGTACCCTAAAATTATACAATAATATAATAATAATATTATATAATAATATAACATTAGAAAAATAAAGCTAATAACTTGCTGCATACCTGAACTGTAACCGCTCTCTCCACATCATTAGATTTGATTCGAGCTTTGTGGAGAATTTTATCGCGTTCCTCTAATAAGAAATATTTGTCACAGTTTTGTTCACATATTCGACCGAGAAGAGATTTCAGCTGCTTCACTAAAATAGCGAAACTGAATCCAAATGTCAAACGATAAAAAATCCACAAGCAAAAAATTTTTCTACAATTGAGATTAATGGTTCACGATATAATGAATTACTTAAGAAGCTGTTTTACTTTCGAATAATTAAATTCATTACAATCTCATTAATAGTTCTTGAACTCACCGACATCCGCTTTTGATAGGGATGTACATGGCTTTTTCATTTTGCATTAATTTCTTCTTTGCTTGTGCCGGTTCATCGTCACTTTTATCAGCCTTCTAAAGATATTTATTTATTAATTTTAATTTATCATGAAGGAGCCAATAATTGTTTGGGCCATACAAAATTCTGACATTGCAAAGTAATCATGAAGAATTTAAAATAAAAAACATATTTGCAAACAAAATACTTACACGCTTAGCATTCGGAAAACGCCAATGGACACCATTAAGAATTATTTCAGGAAGTGATTCATCAATGCATACAATATCCGATCGCTTATGACTCTTCGGCGTTCGAAAAAAATGTTTCGCAGATATTTTATAATCTTTTTGGTGGCGACGAGAAAATAATCCTCTTGTCCTAGCATTAGACGATCGATTTCCCCACCACGATCGCAGTTGATTTCTACGTGATTCTTCACAGAAAAACAATAAATAAACAACAACAAAAAAATATGAAAAATATGAAATATCAAAGAATATGGGAAACACCTTTAAAATCAAAAGCCATAAAATATAATAAAGCAAGTCAGCTAATTTAAAATCATCGATGGGAAAATTTTTTAATGGAAAAACAACAAACCAAAAGATCGTCTAAGACGGTCGAAATTAGTATAAACAGTGCGCGAATTAGCTGGAAAATTTGAATTGAACTGAAACTTTTGAGATAAATTTTTTTTAACGTTGGAATTTTAACGTTGAAACCATCGCAGTATGCATAATCAATAACTAGAAAATAAAAAAAAAATATTAAAAAAACATATAATATAAAATATAATAATATAAAATATATAATATAAAATATATAAAATATATATTTATCGATGCAATTTATTTATTTATTTATTTATTTATTGGCCAGCCAAGCAGGGCGACAACGCCATGTGCTTGTATAAATAATAACAGTTAAAATAGTTAAAATAACGAAACAAAACAAAATAAAACAATATGATAAAATTTAACAATTTAAAGAGGAAATTACGATCAATATAATATAATAGTACAGTTCGAAGTAACATATATAACCTGAAGATAAAATCGAGATTTCTCACTTTCCTGCAGTTCTTGCCTGGTGTAAGCTCTTCTCTTTTTTTTTTCTTTAAATAATATCGTAAATGATATTATCTAGTCTTTTTTTAAAGACAGCTATGGATGACGCACAAGCTACATCGTTCGGTAATTTGTTCCAGTAGTTAATAGTACGAATAAAGAAGTTATGAGTCCTAAATTTAGTTTTGCATATAGGTTTTTAGTTTTGCGTATAGGTATAGGTTTAGTAATTTTAAGCCATTAGTTCTTGTTGGATTCAAATTTAGTCTAAAGTTATAATATTTCGAGCAATCTAGTTTAACATAACCATACAGAATCTTATATGTGTAAATTAAATCTTGTTTAATTCTATGAACTGAGAGAGAATCCATGTTATGTTGTAGAAGTGTTCTTTTATAATTAAAATTATAATTTTTATTAGGAGAGAGGCGTCGTAGAAAATATTTTTGGATTCCTTCAATTATTTTACCTGTTTTACGATGTCAAGGAGAGTAACATATAGTATTATAATCAAGAAGAAGCCGAACGAATGTTTTGTATAATTTGATAAGAAAACTTTCAGTTTTGTTCTTAAACGAACGAAAAATAAAATTTAGTATCCTTGAGAATTTCTTTACTATGGTTCTGCAGCGAAGATCGAAATCGAGATTTTCATCCATGATTATTCCAAGATCGGAGATGTGTGAGACTCTATTGATTAAATTACCATTTATAAAAAAGTTAGGAAGATCGAATCCTTTAGAGTTAATGTGAAGAACGCTACATTTTTGAAAGGAAAGGGTAATTTGCTTGTCATATAGCCAGCTATTCTGCTGAGGTCCTCCTGCAGTGGAGATAGGCTATCTATTTCACCATGAGAATAATAAATTTTACAATCATCAGCATAAAGATGAATAGTAGAATTTAGCACCACATTGGTGATATTATTTATATATAATGAAAAAAAGCAATGGCGTAATGGCGTATTACCTTGGGGAACACCAGATTTAACAAGTTTTGCATCAGAAAAAGTATTTTTGACGAGTACGGCTTGGTGACGGCCTTTTATGTAATCTGATACCCAGTTATAAAAGGTTCCTGTAATGCCAAATTATTAAGAGATATATAATTTGCTATGTGAAACAGTATCAAAAGCTTTAGCCAAATCTAGGTACACAACTGATTGTCAATTGATGCAGACCAATCGGAAAGATTTGTTGGAAAGAAATCTTTGTGAAGAAGTAGATTTTTTTGTACAAAAGCCATGCTGATAAGAAGATATGAAATTATTTGCATCAAGAAAGCAATTTGTTGCAAATCAACCCTTCAAGTACCTTGTTACCAACACATGTTAAGCTAATAGGTCTGTAATTAGAAGCTAATAGGTCTTTTTTATGAATGGGAACTATATGAGACAATTTCCAAATTGTGGGATCAAAGCCAGATTTCATAATATCTTTATAAATTAAAAATAGAAAAAGACTCAGAGAGACTGTGCAAGACTCGACTTTTTTTATAAATTATTTGTGGAATGTTATCGGACTAACTGAAATAGACGGCTTAAGTCTATTTAAGGCATCATAAACATCCAGTAGTGATATTTCAATCTCGCAGAGAGAAGTGCAACAAATTCTATTTACGTTAAAACAGGAAGTATGAGTATTATCCTCAATAAACACACTAGAAAAATACTAAATACATTTGCAATATCAATATCAGAGGTGATCACATTATCATTATGTTGTAGAATTAATTGTTTATGTGGATTTGCAAATTTTTTTTGATATAGGTCCAGAAAGAATTTCTATCAATATTTAAAAGTTGTTCTTTTTTATTTGAAAAGTAATTATGAATGGCGCTACGGAAACTTTTTAAGCTGTCTTTATATGCAGAGAGGTCATTTGGCAATTTGATTAATTGATATTTATTATAAAGCTTCTTGACACTTTTCTGAAGGGATTTTAGAAAAGTGGGAATCGACCTAATGTTCATTTTTCTTAAAGGGATATATTGGTCTATTAGATAAATAAAATGATCATAAAATGAAGCTATTAAGAAAATTAACTTTTTCATCGATAGAAGAAGTTAAATAGAATAAGAAATCCCAGTTTATTTCTGCGAGGATAGAGTTAAAGATTTCATAATTACAGTGACGATAACTTCTAGAAAATCTCGAGGGAGATGAATAACGGTCTAATTTTAATGAAGCATGAATAATATTGTGATCATTATTACAAAAAGGTTCCAAGACTCTAATACTATCAACAAGAGAGGTAGGGGCAGCTAACACAATATCTAATATAGTGTTGTACCTAGTGGCGACCTTAACATGTTGCTGTAAACCAACATAGGTACAAAAGTTTAGAAAGTCCTCTTCAAATTTATTGCTACTTTTTAAACAATTCTTTTCCCAATTTATATTTGGCATATTAAGATCACCAACAATTACATAATCAGTACCAATTAATTTTAATCTGAGTAACAAGTTGTAAAGGTCTCTAGTGAACTTGCTTCCATAGCCCGGTGGGCGGTATAGATTTGAAAGGGAAATATTTTTGCTACTAAGATAAATTTTAATTATCAAAGATTCAAAAGAGGAGCAAACATAATCATCGAAGGTTATAAATTTATAATAATCAGGAATAAGCATGGTAAGCCCACCTCCACGAATATTTGAACTATTTATTGTTCTATCCTTGATAACTCGTGATACTATAAAGCCGTCAAAGTTTAGTTCGCGATTGTCAATAGAGTCATCCAACCACGTTTCACTGGTACAGAAAATACTGTTTGGCTTATCAATTAGTAAAAGTCTTAAGTCATAAAGTTTATATTTTAAATTTCTTGCGTTAAAAATATATAAAGATAAATTACTTCCTATTTTATTAACCTTACTTGATAACTTGTCCTAGGCTGCTGCAGACTGATGAGAATATGTTGGAATCAAAAAATTGCTCGTCGGTGCAATCCACTGGCGAGGCTGCCTGAGTTCCACTATTTGAAGATTTCTGACGACATATTTTTTCAGACTGAGACTTTGATTTCGTGTATAATAGTCTTTTCGCAGCTGTTTATCTAGCAATAATTCTCTTTTCGTCAGATCTTTTCGCAAAAAACTTCCAGGGGGAACGATCGAGCACACATCCTTGTTACAACAGACATGGTCATATGCTTATCTTCGAGGCGAATTTATTTTAAGTACTCGTGGCCTACCCGTCCCCTTCTTTCCATGACAATGAACCTCCTTAATGAATTCAGTCTTGAACCCAGCAGCAGCTAAAATGTTTTCTGCTAAGAGCCTATCGGCAGTAGTAGATCCATCATCCGTAGATTTTTCTGGAATTTTTATGCCAACTAGACATGGTTCTTTTTCCTTCTTTTCAAAATATTCTTCAATGATTTCCAATACTTGTTCAGTTTCGATTTTTAAATGCTCGAAGTTTGCCCAAAGACGAAGCTTTCAAATTATTAATATCATTCTTAAGTTCTTCGTTGACCTTTCTAAGTATTTCAACATATCTAGTTAAATACACAATTAGATCTTGTTTTTCATATTTCTCAGTAATCGAAGCTAGTTGTGACCTCAGATCCTCAATAGTTTTATTTAAACAGCTAACATCATTATTGGAAACGGCCCCATAAACTGCTACCTTTTTCGGTGCCATTTGCAATTTCCTCTTTTCTTCCTCTTACAAGTGAACGGTATAAAACAATAAGATCAATATACTTTTGAAAAGAATATCTTTCAGACAAATGTAATAAGATTAATGTATTCCTTCTATAGTTTAGCGAAGCACAATATAATAATGAAAAACAGAGAGAATGACTAACACAACCGCTCACGAGAATAGAATATTATTGTCACAAATATTATTAAAGTGAACGAAAAAAATAAAAAAAGCACTAAAGGAGAAGTTTATTTCTAATTTTTCTTCATTAAATCTGATAAGATAATAATTGATAAATTTGCTAAAACTATCAATCAGATAGATTTGAATACCACAAAGTACTGGTCTCACTAATTAAGATAGCAAAAAAACTGCCTATGGATATGGATCGGTTATCGGTTTTTGTTTAATCGCCATTCCTCAGGGTTCACCTCGACCGAAGTGAGGCCGAAGAAAACTGAAGTGCAGCAAGTGACTAAACTGTGCTGCAGAGAGAAATAAACCACAACTCTACAATTCACTAAGTCTTCGTTCAACGCTGCACGAATGCTGAACATCGAAGACGACGTAGAAGAGGAAAGGGTCGGTCACGTGGCGATGGAAAAAAATAAATTTCCGCAAAGAAGGTAAATTTAAAATTGAAAACTCAGTCATTCGTTTTGAGACATAAACTAAATTTAAATGCCTTTATTTGAAAAATTTATAAATTTAAGCCGCAGTGGTACAAAATGAAATGGCGTGTTCGAATGGCGTGTTTGATAATTTTCTTTTTCTTCTTCTTCTAACAGCTTTCACCATTACTGGTTAGACTGGTTCCAACGGCTACAAGGGTTGGACGCTTCCAAGCGGCGCGGTCTGACAGTAATGGAAGCCATTCCTTTTTCCATCGTCTAAGTCCATATATTGCTGGTCCTATACGTTCAAAATCTTTTCTCACCGTATTCCAGGTCTTGATTGGCTCACCTCGCTTTTGACGCTAACCGTCACACGGTTCAGCAAATAACGAAATATGCGTCAACTCGTGTGGTGGGCGACGGAGAATGTGCCCTAACCAACGAAGGCGGCGCTCTGTGATAACATTATTTATGCAAGTGGTATTTGAACGAAGGATCTTGTGAGATTTTATCCACTCGGCGAACCCGTAAAATATACCTTAGACAAGAGTGGTCAAAGACAGATAACTTCTTAATATCCTCCACTCTCATTGGCCATGTCTCAGAATAAGGTAATAAGATATAATAAGATCGAACGGATAATAAGATCGAACGGATCACGGCAAAATAGATGCGGACTTTCGTTTTTATATTGATTTCACGACGATTCCATAAAGGTTTCGTCAGCTTCTTGCACATAAGACGAAAAGACTTTCGTTTTATTTACATTGATCCTGAATCCGATTCATGCTGCAGTTTCTGACACGTTATTTAGTATTACTTGCATTTCGTTATAACTGTCAGCAAAAAGGACTATATCATCAGCGTATTGAAGATCTGTGATACGATGCTCTGGACTAATTCGGGCACCTTTTGAGTGCCGACAAGCAGTGTCCATTATCCAGTCTATCGCATAGTTGAATATTGTGGGGGAAAGGACGCAGCCTTGACGGACACCTGTTCTTATTTGTCAGCTCCCCATATACACAGACTTGCGCTTACTTGCGCACATAAAATGCCTTTATGAGTCTACTGATTTTCTCTGAAACACCATCACGTTCCATCACTCTCCAAAGCGCAGCTCTATCAATTGAATCAAAGGCAGCCGCAAAGTCGACGAAATACCTACAGTGGGTTGCAAATATTTGAAGCGATGTTCCAACACCCTTCTTAATGTGAATATCTGGTCAGCACACCCGCACCCTGTCTGAAACCAGCTCGATTAGGACGCATCCTGCTATCTCGTACTTCCATAAGTCTGTTAAGTAGCAGGGAAGCAAAAATTTTTGCTGAGACGTCTAATAGGCTGATTCCTCGATAATTGTCGCAACATGTCCTATCACCTTTCTTGAGAATTGGGAGCAGAATTGCTTTGCTCCAATCATAATTACTGATAATTTTGAATGAATCTGAACCTGAATGCTTTCAGTGTTTTATAATCACTGTTATCAGTGTTATGTAATCAGTGTTATCACTGATACGTCCCATCATTTATTTTCCCATTTCCCATTATTTTTTTAAAATTCCTAAAAAATAAAAAAAAGCATAGAATAACCAATAATTTATAAATAATAAATAGTAATACCAAATAAGGAAACGATTGACATTCCTGCGCTATGTTTTTTTTTTCATTTTTATAATTTTCTGAATTTTTTCAGCTTTAATTTCCAATTGAAAAAATTAAATATCACGGTATACAAAAATATTCTACAAAATTGTCATAAATTTATTGTCGCTATTATGTCGCTATAGGTTTTCGGTTTTCGCTATTTTGTCGCTCTCTTTGAAACATAATTGATTGCCTTATCCTTCTATTCGATAATGGTTCCTCACTGAACCATGGCGAAAAACGCAATATTAATATGATTAATATTTTTTACAACAGATTGATGATACCACTGGTATAATAAGTTTTTCATTTTTCATTACATTTTCAATTCTTCATCATTATAAATTTTATTTTATGTGAAATAAAGTATATGTAAGTTAGATCTCGAAAAAGAAATTTATTATCGAAAAGATATCAATTTTTAGAACTTCAGCACATTAAATGGAACATGAAAAAAATGATAATGATAATGATAAAATGATAATGATGATAATGAACGATTTTTTTCAATATTATTCTTAAAGTTTATTTTTTAGCGTGCTATCCATGGAAATCCGCGCTAATTTGTTTTGTAATTGTTTCCATGTGAAATTATACAATTTTAGGCTTTAGCTTGGACTTGCCCTTAGGCTCAGGTTTGAGCATTGGCCTTGGCCCTAGGCTTGAACGAGGCACCAGCAGAGGTTTGAAATTAGGCCAATGTTTAGACCGAGGCTGAAGGCCAACGTTTATTTCGAGGCTTGGCCAAGGATTTAGTTTGGGCCCAAGCGTTTGGCCTAGGGCCTACTCTTGTTTTGCCTTGGCTAAACGTATTCCCGAGAACTAAATATCATATTTTACAAAAATCTTTTATAAAATTTGCATAAATTTATTGTCGCTATTATGTGGCTTTAAATCTCCGATTATCGCTCTTTTGTCGCTCCATTTAAGCGAAGCTGCTTTGATAATTCTTTAACAATTTATTTAATAATGGATGCTTTACTGCACCATACGTTATACATTATACTAGGCTAACTTAATTTTTAACATATCGTTTATTTGTAATGTAAACCTCATCACTTTTAGTGAACAGAGAAATGCCACGCATGTCTCTTATAATATCGGCAAATTACCAATCCAATGCGATATTATTTATTCAATCGGATAATGAGACTATTCAAAAATCTGAACCTAAATGATCTCCTATCATAATCAGTATTATCACTGGCACGAAATTCAATTCATTAATGCACGATGGAACTGAAACCGAAGTTCATAGTGAACAATCTCATATCAATAATACTGATAAAATGGTTATAAATGGACAATTTAAATGCTCTGCAATATTACTTCACAGAATTCAACAAAATTTTTAAATAAAATTAGCCTAAGCCTTGGTGAATTACAATTACAAGAAATTAAATACTTATCACTTTTTGTGTTTATACTTATTGCAGTAGTTTATAATTTCAGTTGAACGGTATAAATATTCCACGGTGGTTTAATGCTTTCGAAAATAACTGTTATTTTTTAATTAGTATTTGTTAATAATTTGAAGCAAATGATCTTACAATGAGAGGTGGTGCTGGCTTGTATTTTTGTGAAATCCTTCGATGGAAGTAAGTAAAATTGGCCAAAAACTGTGCATATTTGGTTCAGACCAGTGTTATCGATATTCTAATTGTTATTCTAATTGAGGATTATCACACAGTTTTTACTCTTAAATCCTTCTAATTGCATTTACCATTTTTAGAGTGGCAAGTCCCATATAAAGATGAAGATGGCTATCGAGTAATGATAATAATTATCATATCAATGAAATTTATAAATAGAACAATATTTATTATTTTATGAATGTTATGTTATATCCGAGGAAGAAGTAGATTAAAAAGAAGTTTTTGATCAAATTAATAAGCAATTATAATTAGTATATTTGGAAAATCGTATCGAATAATTTTTCTATTAATCTTATTTATACCAAAATTTATATAAATTTATATATTTATACATATCAAAATAAAACTATGTTTGTGAATCAAAAATTTTTTTAAAATTTTCGTATATTTTCAAATTTCTCATTTGCTCGAACAATATAATTTAACAATTCAATTGAAAAATAATACACTTTACATTTTCCATTTCGCATTTCCACTTTTTATTTACGTTCTATATTCTTTTCCATTTTAAAACTCATTCAGGAAAATTACCATAAATGCATTTATAAGATTTTTCATAATTTTCTAAACACTCAAGAAAATGCAAAAATGCATGATTGCTTAAGACTGAACGTGAAGAATTAAGTTTTTATCCTCATTGATGAAGAAATTGATTCACTTCAATTATCACTGAAGTTAGGCAAATCAAAAATGATAACATGGCGAATTCCGCATGAGCATTTTTATCTTTCTTTATAAGAGCACTCACCTAAGCCCCGATTCTCGTGGCAATTGTCTCGCCATTGAGCTGCGACCAATATTTCAGTTTTTTCATTTTAGAAATTAGGAAATTCCTTTATAATTATCGAGAATATGGAGATTTGAAAATTGTTAGTGCAGAAATATCCCCACACCTCATAAAAACCAAAAAAAAACTATTCGATATCGACAAATGGGAATCATTCAATATCCGCAAAAAATGGTTTCAAACGTGCAAATCTGCATTCTTCTATTAAATAAAAAAGAAATTCCACTGGAACCAAGCCTATAGCACTATTCGTATTGCATAGGACATATGAGGAATCAGGTAGACTGATCTGA